ATGGAGAATGTTATAAAGTATCAACTCACCATTTGTTCGGTAGACTATTTTGACCAAGCTGTGAATAGTGTGGTAACTTAAGGTGAGTAAACAGTAGAAAATGGTGTCCACGGGTTTTAACTAGACACTAACTGGAGCGTAGATCATCTCTTCTGTTATGGGCCATTACCTTCCGGTATTTTAATTCTTTGTTCTAACGTATACACATGCACTCTAGTGCGAACGCCATTTTCGCGCTCTTCCTTTGTGCCGTTAGTGCGCACATTCTCTGAGTTTGCGATTCAGCCATACCTGTTAGATAAGTTCTAGACCCTCTTCCCAAAATAATCCTGGCCTTTAATTTTACTCAAACATACGCTCATCAGAGCACATTACTGGTCACATGGGTCCTTTTAATCTGCGTTTTGTTTTCAGTACGACAAAAGAGACAGAGTACTGATTTCCTGGATAACTAAGCAAACTACCTTTAGTAAGGGCTGGTGCAGTGTAGCTAAACGGTAGCACTACAATTACCTCAAACACATTAAAACCACTGCAGAGTTGGTTATTGTCAAGCCTAATGATTCATGCAGGTGTGGTCTCCAAAGTAGCTAGTCACGAAAAAGACACTCAAATGCTTTTATTTGCAGAGAAATATAGATACTCTGGGTTCGGATACTTTATGAACTTTGATCAACAATAGTTTTAATGGATTTAAAGACGGCCCGTAGTCTGTCTAAATGATCTTAATTTTTAGTAAGAACTCAGCGAACTATTTAGCCACATCTACGGAAATCAGGTTCAGGAACGTGTGTTTTACATTACGATACGCTGTGTGTGAACTTGGATTTATAGGAGGAAACTATGTGATAAACTTTGATCTTGCTAACTTGTATGTCTTAGGTAGGCTTAATAATTTGTATATGGGAACATTCTGGTAAACTTACGTCCTGACCACAAGACTGGTCGCTTCGTCAGTCCGTTTGGCCTAACTCTGGTACACAACTGTACCCAAAACTGCCCACCTAGCGAGTGTAGAAGATTAAACCTATCCATATTCAAAAGCGTATTTAGGTATATTATAAGAGACTATAATAATATGCAAACACAGCGTAATTCAGATATCACATAACTGTTTTGCGTCAACAAATTTTCCATAAAACCATTTTTTGAACTCTAGCTGTAAAACTTCAAAAAAGAAGATGAATAATCTAAAGCTTCAGAGGATCAATGAAGCCTTGTTGACCTGTAGAGTTGAACCCAAATTAGGGCTAACAATCAGGCCTGGAGAGAAACTTCAGTAGATGAGAGAGAACTGACAGGCCATGTGTAGCCAGGCGAGTGGCGAGGCAGTCACCGGAACTAATGCCCTTCGTCTCAGTGGCCATACAAAGTGTTTCGGCGCTGGAGATAGGCGTTGCTTGAGAGAGGCACACCCACAACATACATCAGTGAAGACGGCTGTCCTCTCAGATGGCACTTGGTGGTTCTAGGGGAATTTATATCTGTAAATTGCCTCATCCTGCTCACCCCATACAGATCAACTCAATTTGTCTACCAACTGCCAGATTCGGTTGCTATTGACAGTTGTCTACAGCACTCCGAAAATGGTACAAGATCAAAGATAAGGTTAGTGGTTAACACATTCAATACTGTGAAAGCCGAACTGGAACCTTCAGCAAGCAGCAAGCTGAGGTTATAATGTGTCCTTATGTCTCAGCCAGATGACAGCGGTGCAAAACTAAGGAAGTCGACAACCAATGCCACTGAAGTATCATTCTTTTTATTTTTGATTACAGCTTGATTCCACACCGTATTTTTGGTACAGTTACGGAATTTTCAGCATGTGATATCGGTAGCCCAAATTTTGCAGGCCGACCATAGATATCAGGTGTGCGCTGGTAGGGGATCGAACCCCGGACCATGTGCATGGTCGTCGAGAGTCCTAACCACTGTGCCACCGACGCGCTTGAGCAAAAATGGTTACTGGCGAGTTGTTTCGGAATAGGCCAACTAGTTTCAACATTAGCTTTCCATCTAGCAGCCTACTCCACGTCGATCACCCTTCAGCCAAATGAGGTGATGACTGTATAGCAAGGTGAGATGACCTAGAGGAGAATTAGACGAACTTAAAAGCCTACAATGACACATGGATCACAAAATAATTGTGCTGACAGAAACCTGAATCATCCCATTATTGCCAAGAAGGAAGTCAATATAGGTTAAATGCCCCTGGTTAGATGGGGCAGGGGTCGTAAGGAAGAGGAAAATGTTGCCAAACACATCAACAAGTAGCTGAAATGCGCACGAGCAACAGAATGCCCACTCACTTAACTCCCAGGCTTCTTATGGTGCCATCAGCCACACCAACCACTAATAAATTGGTATTTATCCATCATCCTCATTCGGAGGAGAACACAACGAACCGCTATCCATAACTGCCACGGAGATATGGAACCCAAGGTGTAACTGAATCACCACGACTGGAGACTTCAATGCTCCATCCCTCAACCTGGAGTTGGGGTTCGCTCAAGGGAATTCTGGTTGAAATTCGCTATACACCACCATAAATACAGGATCGACTGAGAATGCAGATGAGACCAGGTAAAGCCCTATTAGGAAATCACTAAAACTGCATTATATCCTGACCAGCGACCATTTCCTAGTAAGAAATGTTCAGTTTAAGATTCCTCTATGAAGTACTGACCACGAAGTGATAGTGTTTGATAATTGTTTGAGGGCATTTATATAGAAGCGCTATGTGATCTTACCTGTGACACAGCAGAGCTGATAAATTTTGATCATAGTGGAATGGAGCACATATTTTGGCCTGAACTAACAAACGAGGAATATTGTGAAATGTTAAACAGTATTATCCAATCAGAGATATCGAATGCCGTCCCTCTAGTCCCATTACACCCTTGGAAGCGTTCCTCATGGTTAGAGACAGATGCACAGCACTCTGTAGGTTGGGTGAAAAGTCTGATTTACATGGCTGCTTTGTAGGAGTCAGACTGATCAGGAGGTATACTTAGAACACAGGGACAGATACAGAACAAGGGTCTAGGGAGAAGAGGTCATTTCATGCAGAGCTTGCCAGAAAACTCTTCGCAAGATCCAAAAGCATATACTGATTCATGTAGGAGAGAAAATGTGTCAGCTAAGGGTCATGAACCTTAGGAGGTGTAAGTGGCTAATATGTCACCAGTTTTAAAACAGCTTAAACACCCAGCATGATATCCTCCTTTTCAAAGTAACTCAGGCGGATATTGGCGGCCCGCTTCTCTAATGGTTTCAGGACTACCTAGACAGAAGTGAATTCTATACCAAAATAAATGGTGTCCAATCATCGTGTCACAGCTTGGCATCGGGCGTTTCGCAGGGCACTATCCAAGGGTCTTCAATATTTTTAATTTTTATCAGCGATCTGCCATGCTGTCAAAACTTCCCTGACATTCTTTATGCTGATTATGTCGAGATCTGAAGCTTAGTAAAATATTCAGAGGACCCAGATAGATTGCAGACAAACTCAAGGAGGAGGAGTGGAAACATGCCAGTGATGTGTCTTTCAGCTCAGAAAACATGCACAATGGCACAACTACATACCCAAACGCCGCAGGAAGTAAGTTACTTTCCTTGTGTCGATAACTTGTCCGGTGTAAAGTCGGAGCCTGACTTAGGTCTCGCTGTGACGGAGAACCTGGACCTTAGTGCTAATTACCCGAGTTATATGGGGAGGCAATGTGCTCACTCTTGAGCCTTTTCTAAGACTGTATAAAACATATGCAACGCCGCACCTTGAGGGGTACAATATCCTAATTACTGCTTACAAGATTACAAATGTGCAAAAGGATCCTGACAAAATTGTCCTGTCCCACCATGGATCGTGCATAAGATTTAAAAGACTCGGGTGCGCTCTCATTCCTTTTCACTCCAAGTTTGCCGCCCGTAGGATTCTTGGTCGGCAGCTGTGAACACTTCACTTATGTGGAGTGTTTTATGCGGAGGGCGGGTAGTCATGCAGCAACACAAGAGGTATGTTCGAACTGACTTTCCCCTTGGAATTCATCAGACTCTATCAGTGGGTATCACCTAAACTTGTCCCTTATTTTCGCACAGTCTCCATTCGTCACTCTCCTGAATACTCTGCCCGTTATTTCAGATTTTTAAATTTCAAATGTCATTATCCACCAATCAGTTTTTCCTTTCAAGTCTGCATAACCACCATTGATAATATCATTATTGCTATTGTTGTGCCGATGGTTCAAAGGATTTTCTCCATTCATAGTACCAGCATGGTCTTAATTCACACCATGCTGCAAACACATATAGCCAATCTCCCACATAACTCCCATCGGAGTCCATGGCAGGTGAGTGGCTGGACTAAGTGTGCGGACGTTTACTGAAGATTAGAAACCTTTGACTTAGAGCCAGGGAGCGAGCCCAAAGAAGTCAATCTAGCCTACTGCAGCTGGTGAAAAGGATATCAGATACTGAATCCAACAGATTACTTAGTTGCTTGATACATTCTCGTTGTCATTCTAAGTGACACTTTCTTTTCAAAGATAGTTCTTTATTGAAGACAGGCGAAATTGTGTCAAATATTTGCTATTTTAGGTCTCAGAATTGAAGGCATAGCATCAGCATCTTACACTTAACGCTAAAATTCAAGCCCTCAGAAATGGATACCACGAATTAACCTTCTCAATATTTTAACTTAAAAAACTGTCGGGCATCTTTTTCCCAAGTTTTTGTAACAAGTGACCAACTTTTCGTTGGGCAGCTGGTGCATTAATACTTTTTTCGTGACATATGAGCAGCTGGTTGCACCCGAAATCAGCTTTGTTTTAATGTGTCAACCTGCTCATTTTGGCGGACAACTATTTCCTTGTTTGGATTATCTTTCTGTTCTTATCTGATCTTCCAATTCCCCTGTTATTTGTAGGTTTCATGGATATATTTTTATGTTATTGTTATTAGACTTTGTTTACCAGTTCTTCAGTAAATAGGCATCAGTTAAAATGGCAAATAGGAGCTGTCACTACAAATTAGTGATCCTTGGGGAATCAGCTGTAGGCAAATCTAGCATTGTCCTAAGACTGGTGAAATGTCAGTTTAGTGAGTATCAAGAAGCCACAATTGGAGGTTAGTTTATGCTACTGGTTTTTATCTCCTAGCTGCTTATATCACTCAGACAATCGTCCTGGAGGACCCCCCAACAACAGTCAAATTCGAAATCTGGGATACTGCAGGTTGGTAATTTTTCAAAATACATTAGGTTTTGATTCATGTTGGCAAACTTTTTGATTCTACCGGGTCACTCACTGCTTTTGGCCCTTTGAGGGAATCGTAGGAGTCCAAACTTTCGGATGCTTTTATCTCAGTAAATGGAGGTTTTTTGACTTCGTTAGCCAGTAAGTCCTGAAGGATAGAATCAAAGCATGTCACCTTACCATATGACACTCCAGGTTGTTGGTAGCTTTCGTTTGCATGTAGGTTTTGTAGTCTTATTATAGTGACAGGGGGTAAGACTGAGTAATGCTTTTGATTGTGGGATTTATTACATGTATTAGGTAGAACCGGGGAGCTTTCTGAGAGAATAGGACATGTCAAGCCTAATTGAGACTTGAATTTTCAGTTATTCACCTTTCGCTGGGCTTCTCGACAAAAGTGTGGAACCTTATCTGAAAATGGAAATCAGCCATTAATGGAGATGTAATACCGAAGTACCCAACTGGATTGTTGCGCAAATGTTTAACGCCACCGAATTTGTATTTCTGGGTCGTTCACGTGGGTTGGAATCATGTGATGAAGAACGCTGAAGTGCATTGCAAGCCATTTGTAATTGTACGTATTCGTTAAGGTGGTTTAAACAGTAACACCGCTGGGATTCCGTAATCGCAGGAGTAGCGCCATCTAAAATAGCATTAGGAAACTATTCACTGTCTGCACAATTGTCCCTGTAGGTTGTTGCCCACAGCGAATAAAAGGCAAAAATATAACTTAAAAGCGGGTCAAATTAAGAAGGCTAGAGAATTTACAAAGGTATCTCTCATCACGATCTGCTCCGAGTCATTTTATTCAGAGTATTTCAGTCTCGGTCATACTGGTCACATGCACTTTAGCCAGGTGACATATACTGACGTTGTATGAATTTTCTTATCTTCGGCCTAAGCCATGTGAGGAGTGAACATAGCCGTGCTAAGTGTCAGGGACTTGGTGAAATGACTAAGTAAATTGTTCAAACAGATCAAAGAAAGGTTTATAGCTACCTTACTTGTCGTTCTAAACTTTGCTTTCTGTTACTGTTTAAATTTAGTGCGTGAACCTTTTCCCATTATCAGAAAAATGTTGCGATGTTTCTGTAAATTCGGTACTGTAAGTGCTTCTGAGGTCCGTTGACGTTTCTAATCCTAGTTGATGAGATTGCTTTCACAACACTTCTGTTCATACAGTCAAGATCGGTAGAGTTTTGGACCAGTGTTTTTGTGTTCCGAATCTTAACGACTAGTGATTCAACCAACAGTCTCGTCCAAACCTGAAATTTATTTAGCTTTTACAGATTTGGGGTTTTCTAGTCTACAAATGACTATAAGCTGTATGGCCTAAGCCGTGTGGAGCTGTGGCGCTCGACTTCCGACCAGTGGGTCATGGGCTCGAATCCCGCTTTACCTACTGAGGTTTGGGTAGCCAGGTAGTACCACTAGTTCTCACACACTGAGTGTGGCTCAGTGCCAACTGCACGGGATTTCATGTAGTTGTTCAGTAGCATTCCACGCTTTATTTCATAGCATTGCCACTATTATTCAGTCTGGTCCTCTCGTTAAGACAAGAGTATAAACGTTTTGATAAACCGTATTAATGAACAATCTGTACCTATTTCTTGGCTTCGTTTTGACTTACCATATCGCTATCTTGTGCTTTAGTTAATCTAGTCGGTCACTGCATTTCTGGGATCAAACCATGAGGCCCAACTGCTTTCGTTGGGGTTTTGTGACAACCTTCTCAACTTTGCCTGGCAATTCTTTAGGAAACCACTTCTATGCTCCGACTTGGGTGATGTGCATGAATAGTTACAACCTGCATTCTGTGAAGATACTTTTCTTAGCACCCAAATTTTTTTGGTTTGGATAATTGGTTTGTGCAACTGATTTTCAGACTGCGTAACAGGTTGTAACTTCGCTTTTCAAGATTTGGCTCGAGCATTTGGAATAGAACAATAAGGCGTTACAACAGTTTATTGCTTTGAATGTTATTACTATCGATATCTAGGTTACGAAAATATATGAAAGAGGGGGATCTTCAGTGGGTAAGTAAAAGTGCCACCTATCTGACCAAGCTTTTCACTGGCTTTACTCTTAACTAATTTACGTCCATTAAGAATTGCTCTATAACTAAAATTTTCTTTTTGAAAAATTCAGGTCAAGAACGGTATCACAGCTTAGCCCCTATGTATTATAGAGGCGCTCAAGCAGCCGTCGTTGTTTACGACATAACAAATCCAAGCTCATTTGAGCGTGCAAAATCTTGGGTACATGAACTGAATGAAAAAGCAAACACTGCCAAAGTGATTGCGCTTGCTGGGAACAAAGTGGATCTTGAAGAGCAAAGAGCTGTTCCATTTGAAGTAAGGAGTTATTTTTTGCCTTATAATTTTTGTGCCCATCTATGGGTACCAAACTTTCAAGATATCATTTGCTGAACTAAACTGCTTTTCACCTATTGCTGCCTCGCTAACTTGATACTTTAATAAACCTTGACAGTGTGACTCAGTTTAGTAAATTAATTTAAGCACGGTTTTAAAGTCACCAATCAAATCTTCCATTCATATATTGGAATTTAGTTCTATATTGCTAATTTTAAGTAGTACGTTCTACAACATTCATGTTCTGAAGTCTCTAATATTGTTAATCCACAAATATTAAAATATTTGTTTCTCATCTTGTTGATTAATATAGTGATGTAGTTTACTTTTATAGGCTGTCAAAAACCTTTTCTTGGAACGTTCATTAAGACATTTGATACTTATATTAGCTATAAAGTGACTTCCATGTTTTTACTCTTTCATACTACTGTCACAGTCAACGCATACGTCAGTGATTCATAGAGATCTTTTATAGTTCTTGGCAGGTTCCAAGGTGAATTAAGATTGTTTTATTCCTGTTACTAACTTATAAATGAATCGACAAACAGCATGTACTACTTATAGCTATGAATGCTGCTGTGATACGTTCATTTGTGGAGATGTATGTACAAGATTCCTTAATTGAGACGTATGAGTGTTTTGGATAAGAAGAATGATAAAAGGAGCAGGTAGTTTTTGATTAGGTTAACCTTGAATGGAGGTTTTGCCAGGTGAAATATTCTTTGTGGTGTGATGATGAGGCTGCTCCGGAACGAGCGAAACTGCCATTTGGTGTTTAGATCACCTCGATATAGATAGCACTCACCACTGGTTGATGTGAGTAGTATCCAACTATTTCTATCAATAAACCAGTAGTATATAGCATGATGCATCTATACCTGCTTTTTTAATTGCCATTTATGCCATCAGGTAGTTCACATGCTGTGATGTCAGCAATTTCGGTTTCCAAAGAAAGCTGGTAAAATTTCATCTGGAACTGTGTAAATTGCAAATTTAGTTTAGTTTCAGCGACGTATCAGTCAGCTACTGAAAACACAAGGTATATTCTTATAGCTAGACTGTCAGTGTTAGTAGTTGCAAATATAGTCAGATATAGTCTTAGGTCATTATAATTGTGATCTTTGCGATGTGACGACTCAACCGGCAACTGGTGTTAGTGCTTTCATATCTCAGCACTATTTTGATGTTGTGTGTGTTGTGTGAATAGATTTCATACAAATGCTGAAGTAGATGTAGCACCGTTTTCAGTGAGCTGAATGGGAGACTTAGGCACGATAGACTTACTGTTGTAATCTCAGGTTCATTGTGACTGAGGGGCCACTAAATGGTTGTGTACATTCCTTAGTTGTCAGCATTTCCTACTGATGTCTTTTAATATTAAATGAGGGTGTAGTTCGAGTCTTTTCTAAAGACGTACAAATATTGGCAAATTAATCAGTCATCAAATGGTGGATGGAGATTACCACTTTGCTCTAACTGTGTTTGTGCGATTTCAGTTGGGATTTTGTTGTTACAATTAAATATTAAAATACTTCATCGGTAATTGCATGTAGTTTTAAGCATTAATATTTGGACTGCTTGTGCTATATGTAGTCTATCTGTAAATGCTTTATCAATACCACTCTGTGAACACACATTCATTTCTTCTGAACTAGATGTTATGTATGTTGTTCGCATGTAGATTATGAATATGATTCCCAATAATTCTAGTAACAAATGTAATAGATGAGTTGATGGAAGAAAACTAACTGGTTCTTTATCTTCGTTAGTCTTTGGAATAGTTTTCTGCTCACTAACTTGATCCACAACGAACATTATTTATTCACACCGGTATAGTGTATCAAAGCTATTATAAATCTTCATTGGGTTGTTGAGCTACAACTAAAAACATGGTAAAAAGCTGTCAGTCACCTTCAGCCGAATGAATGTAGAAAAGCGAAAAACTGGATAGGCCTTTATTTTCTAAGTTTTACCGATTCAGCAGGGACACATAGATGCACATTAACCTATTATCCAATAACGTCCAGGTTGTAATCACAGTGGTAATTATTTTTCTTACAAAATTTCTTTAGGAAGCACAAGAATATGCCAATCGAAATGGTCTACTGTTTATGGAAACATCTGCCAAAATGGCCACCAATGTAACAGAACTTTTTACCGCCATAGGTAAATGCTACTAATTTTTGCAATTATCGTTAGTATTATGTGATTCGTTTGTTTTAGTAAATTTAAGTGTGAGGAAATTATCTAATTTGTATTCTGGTGCTTGTGTTGTGATTATTTACAAATATTTTCTAAGACTGGAACTTATTAATTGTGGTCCTTACAATATACTACACTGGTCTTCATTTCCACATAACCGTTAATAGTTGTGAATTGTGTAAATGTCAACTTATCTTTCTGTTTGAATTTTTATGTCTTTTCATTATTCCGTGTTATTTTCAGTTGGTATTTCTTTTCTTCGTAAATTAGCAGTTTTCTTTTTGTGTTGGGTCAGCTGCAGATAAGTGTGACCAGTATTAATTTGTAGAACAGTTAGCGTACGTGGTTTCCTAAATGGTTTGAATACTGTTTTTTAGCGACCTAGTTTCATGCTTAATTGGAGTACACATAATTAAAAGACTTTCGCAACATCTCAACGTTTTTGAGATAAATGGTAGTGCCCAAAAATTTAACTGTATGAGATTTAAAATAGTTACTTTAGTGTATGCAAAGTTAACCTTATTGCCAATATTGTCATAATGTTTGAAGCCGAATGTTAATTATGGAAAAGAAAGTTCGCTTTATGTAATAATGAAGTGCTTTTCTGCCACTAAATTTATCCCGTGTTTATAGGAATAAATAACCAAACACTCCTAACTTATGTCTTTCTGTTTAAATATTTCATAGCCCTCAAAGTATTTGTGTCTGTACTTAACATTACTATCAGATCTAACCACCACCGCCAAAGATTGCGTCTGTAGTCAAGTTAAAAGATTTCCAAAGTTGATACGTAAATTTAACCAATTTCCTCGAATTGATATACTTGTTTTCATATAATTCAGTATTCACTCTAGTATTTCTGAAGATATTTCTCATGCGCCTGTAAAATCTTATTTCTGGGTTTCGACTTATTTCAAATCTGAGTTTCATCTAGTCGATTTATAGTTTCAAGCCGGTTCCACTTACACAATTCCGGACAGCCAGTCAGTATCATTAGTCTACAGTTACTTGATATAGTTCTTCAGTTGTATTTTTATGGTGTTGAATAATTATTTATCAGCAAGTTTGTTTACAAGTCGATAGATTTGTAAAAACTAATTTGCATTTTTTGCTGTTTCATACGTCTGTCTGATCCGTATATACCCTGTGACGAAGTTTCTGTTTTCTGCACAGTCAGCAGTTATTTGTTTAGGTTGATAAGTGGATTTTCATTTCAACTTTTTGTGTGGTTGGTGAATTTATTTCTTATCTACTGTATCATTTCATGTATTTTAATTTGTATTCATTTATTTTAGCCCAACGGTTACCTCACGATACTGAACCATCTAGACCGGCTGGCGGACAGCAATTAACTCAAGGCAATTCGCCTTCTCAGCCTAAGCAGTGCTGTAGGTAATCGTGATTTATTCATTTGGGTGTTTTGATAAATTATGTGGATCCCATGTTCTCCCAGTCCTCCGGTCTAACGTCATTTTGCGTTCGTTCAGGCTGTTTTTGATTAATAACTATGCTTTGTGGTCATATTGGTCGCAATGGTTTTACTTTTAAATCTACCTATACAGTTTGTTGTAATCTTCACTGAAGAAAAAGTGGTCTAAATTATTTCAAGATTGTCAACTTGAATTTCCACTTTGTCACTATTATTAGCCCCCTAATATTATACACACTTTTATTTGCATCTGATTTACATAATTGAATTATAAAATTCGTCATTCATATTACTGTTTATCGATTCATTGAAGTTGTTTGTGTAACTTTTTATTATTGTTCCTTACTTCATCAATGGAATGTTTGTAACATTCGTTCCGTTTATTGGCTTGTAGGACATCATTTATTCTGTTATTGTTTTTCTTTCAAAAGTACTTGATCACTGAATTATTTTTTCTTGATTCTATTCTCTCACGCTCTGCGTGTACTCACAAATTTCTGCTGTGCTGGAGCGTTCCTTCGCGAGTTATGGTTTTATTGAACATTGATTTTTTTTTACGCGTAGACCAAATACAAATGTAGAAATGTGTATTACTTCGAAGGAAAACAGTCAATTGCTATCTTACTCTCACCTACCGCGCCCTACTTGACCACTGGACATAATTTCTACCTTGTGGGCAGAATGTGTTTTGAGATCTATTTTGACCATGTGATTTCATGATTTGTTTTTTTTTTCTATTTTTTCTCTGCGCAGTCTTCTGTACTATAATATCGTGTTACCCATTTATTGAATATTTCTTCTGGTTTCAATCAGTTTCAGAATGGTCAGTTATGGGTGCGTAGATTGTGTGTCACCTACTTAGCCAAAATGTATTTCCAGCATTTTTCGTGCGTTGTTTAAAGTGTTGGTTCACTTCTTACCTTATCAGTATCTGCTACTTTGACGTAGTGGTTGCATTTACATATAGCAGTGACTCGGCGAGATATGCTGACTGCAGTGGATGTTCCTGCGGGCTCTACCTTGTCAGCAAGGTTGGATGGATAGCGACTAAACTAAAAATGGCAACCATCGTAGTGTGGTGGTCATAACAGTAGTAAGGTTTTTTCCACAAGCCAACTGTACTGTCTTCATCCTGGAAAGGAGAGGTTAGGAAAAGTTGGCGCTAAAAGTGTTTAATCGGTTGCAAGCAGTTGTCTCTTGGTCTTTTGACATCAGGAAAAACTTTCTTTTTCTAAATCAGGTTCTTCAGGAAACAAATAGACTTACGTGCTGTGAACAACTGGAAAGTAACAGCTATGCGCTGACTTCCATAAGTACACAAAGTTCCTCTGCTCATCACTCCATCTTCTTGCTGTTATGTCACTGCTTATACTATCCTCTAGACAGTTTATACGCGTTTTCTTAATTTCGTGACTGCCGTTAGCACCTTGAGCTTGAGAAATACCGTTCTCAGTCTCTTAAAATTATTGTGTTAACTTCAGCGTCTGGATCTTATGTCACGTTGGGAAACGGGACATAAAGCCTAGAATGACAATGTAAGATTCGTAATTAAGTCACTCGGGTCAGAGAACACAACGACTTAAGAAAACACCCACCTGAGCTACGAATGTTCATTTTTTCAGTTATGCAACCATTAATTGAAGTCGGGACGAAGTAAATTATAAGTTTTTCCAAAGTTGTTTAGTTTGCTGCTAAAAACAAAATACTCAGCACTAACTGCAAGCCTGAATAGAGATATTCTTACCTGATGTAACAGATACTGAGAAAACGATGGACACAGTTAGACCACTTGCAATGAGTCCTTGATGAAATCAGTCGGCGAAAGATCGCTATCATTTCTGGAACACCGGCGTGGACTCTAATTTTGCATCAGTCCGTGCACATGTATGCCTACAGCTAAATGAATGTAGAAAACAAGCACATACGAAGCATTTACGTGTTCAGCTTTTTGATGGGAACATGAGGTAAGTATTTGGTCAGGAGATAATTAAACACACCTGAGTCTGACGGTACTACTAATCCCGATGAAACCTGGCTTCATATGCAGTGTACTGTGGAAGTTGCATTGAAGTCTGCTGTTAACTTGCAGTCAGATATTGCCAGATTTTCACAGTTTCATTTTAACTGACAGGCTCTGAAAATGGCGAAAAGTGAAATTTCCTCAAAGGTGGCGAAAAGTGGTGGGCAACAAAACCAAATGAAAATGGGGAAAGCATTCTGAGTAAGTAATACCAGTCAGTCATTTAGGCTTATTAGGAAAATGCTTCTTAAAAATCCTGTGGTTATTCAGTTGATCTAGGGTGATGGAATTGCAATGACTCCGCAGGGGAAGGCACTTTGAAACGTTGGTCAGAACATCGAGAAACAGTCCGTCTTGCCTTTATTTGTACTACAGTTGCCAACTATTCAGCTGCAAGCTGAGTCGGGTTCCCCTCGACAGCCTAGCGTGTGTTGTCACTCAACTCGGCGTATGTCCAATCTATCTCCGTTTCCTTCTGTATATTTGTTGAGCAATAGCTGAGGCATCTGCTTAAATAAGAGTCTGCAGTCGCCTGTTAGAAATGCTTTTAGTGACGCACCAAGTCTCGTACCTGGGTTTAAGCAGTGACGTGACATTAGTGTTGAAAATTAGGATAATGCTCCTTGTGCTTAGTGCTGTAGAGAACCGAACGCCTGTTTCGCTTTCCCTATCCTGTATAGCTCTGACATCCTCATTCATAACGCCTTTAATTGAGATGATTCTGCCTAGGTCAGGTAAGTGAAAGAGACTTTAGACTTCTCCCAATGATAGTGGTAGGTATTTGTTGTTGTTGATGGATGTGAACTTAGTGTACTTTGATTTGTCGGGAATGACTTGTTATAGGAGAAAAGCCTAGTTGGTCTAGGGTATGCAAATGGTGTTGTCATTTTTTGTAAAGACGATGACACAATCAGGTCTTCTGAAGACTGCAAAAGTCTATCTTTGGGGCTGACCTCATTAAGCGGATGGATAGAAATTCATTGTGGTGGCATGTTTGTCGCGATTTTCTGTCAAGTTACATCATTCATCTGAAAATACGAGGAAAGGTGACGTACGTCGAGAATATGGTTTCGCGTATTCCTGTTGAGGTGTAGTGAATATTAAATCCCATTATTAAGTCTTCTGAGAACCCTGTATATTTAGTATTTCTAAGGAGATGCTTGAAAAGACAGGTCAGACATCCTATTATCTCAACTTATTGCGAAACATAATATTCGGTGATGGGGTTGTTGGTTTTTTTCTTCGACGAGGACAAAACTCCGGAACAACTAGTCTGTTCCAGTCGGGACACCAGGGTGGTCATGAAACCAACACAGTTGGCCAGACTTCTCAAAACCTCAGCATCAACCTTTGGCCCCACATCCCTGGTCCTACCTCAAATGTCCATCGTCACTGTTACTGACACAATAGCAATTGACGCCAAATGATGGAACTTCCATCAGCCGGCTGGCTTTATAGTGCTTAGCATTTTTTCATATTTTGTCCATATAGGCAACACCAGTGATAAGGCTGCAATAATGACAGACACAAAGATGGTTTAGCCAACAAGACGCGCAAAGGCCATCCTTGACAAGTCGCCATCCCCAGTCAGCACCTGCCCGCCGAATTTTCGTCAGTGTTCGGACTCTACCTCTCCATGCTGGCGCTATACCTGTTTCCCAACCAACGAGACCTATGCCATGTGCTTCATCACCACAAGTAGACACCAAACTCTCCCGTTTCGGACAGTTAGATATTCTCAAGCGTGCCACAGCTCCTCGTGCTCTGATGTGGAGGAGGCTCCAAATGCTCCAGACTTCCCAGGAAACAACAGACCACTCTCTAGGTGTCGGTCAGTCAGGTGCAGATAGTAGACGGTGCGGTTCCAGGTTGACCCCAAAGTGCAACACGTCTCTTCTTCGTGGTCAGGAACATATCCTTTTGTGGTTATCTTCACTCACACAACGCCATTTGCCATATATATATATATATATATATATATATATATATATATATATATATATATATATATATATATATATATATATATATATAGTTTTTCTTGGTATGCTTCCTCACACTTATACGGATACCGTGAAATATACTTTCCATCTCACTTCGTGTGTTCTGGCTTAAGTAGAGCTGATTGGGGTGAACAGGTAGCTATCTTCTAACGTCGGCGTTCGACTAGCAATATTCGTGGTCAGTGCGTCTGTGTCCAGCATTGGCGTTCCTATTTCATCTCAGTGCTACTGCGAAGTGTAATAGTTGTTTAGACATGTAGCTGTTTCAGTGGCCCAGAAATGTTAGTTATTATGTCACTATTTTTCTCTATTTTATTAAAACTATTAGCTAGTAGGTTCCCGTGTATCTTCCTGGAACACCTACCTCTTTCGTCCAACATCTGGAAAATGCAATAGGCACACAGGTCTCATTATAAGATTCTATGGAACTCTTCGTCCTGCTAGAGTTAGATTGTCTGTAGTTGTATGTGAGCAATAATAAGTATCTGGCTGTGTAATCAGATAATTCTTCCACGTTAAGATTGTTGTCATTAGTTTGAATCTTTTGGCTTCATATTTGCTGTATCACAGAACTTGCGTACCAGTACACTCGCCGCAGAGGTATACGAATTTCTTTATGTGTATGTAAATCTTTATGTTGTCATGCGTTACCGAAAGTGTCAGTTTTGAATACCTGACCTGTTTTCCTACTGCATAGGATTGCAAAGCAAACGGTAATAGTGATCGACAGTTTTTTTTCTTCAATGATCTCAGTTGCGCATAGATTCTGATGGCATTCAGTACACAGTAGTTGAAGCGAATACCAATTGTGATTGTGATAGTTTTACCAACAGGAATCTAAAATATGTTGAGACGATTATAGGGGATATTTCTGATAAGGAGAAATAATATTAATATTATTTAGGTTACGAAGTGATTTGGCGCGAGGCTCAGTGAAGTGACGTAACTTAATCCTTTTGTCTTCTAAATATCTAAAAGGGGATTTTCGTTATATTTATGTTACATCTTATCATTTAGAAATTGTATAGGATAATCTGTATGCTAGTACTCGCTTCGGCGGTACATATACTAAAATTAGAACGATACAGAGGAGATTAGCATGGCCCCTGCGCAAGGATGACACGCAAAATCGTGAAGCGTTCCATATTTTTGCGTCAGTGGCATAGCGGTTAGGACGCTCGCCAGCCATGCACATGGTCCGGGGTTCGATCCCCGGCCGACGCACTCCTTTACCTCACTAAGCCAGAAATAATGCTGGTGAAGAGGAAAGGTTGGGCATGAGGCTAGCAACCCCATCCTGTAAAATAAACACTCCTACAGAAACTTCAAGCCACTAGCTTGAAGCCCTATGTTCCACTGGGGAACGTGAAGGAAAAAAAAGGATAATTGATAGTACTTACGGCGTCTTAAAGTGTCAGATATGGTCACAAAATCAGTCCAACAAAAAGGACTAGATAATTGCAACCTAATGTAGTAAAATGGGACAATACTATTTATTTCAATATATCGACTGCGTAGAAGTTGGCCTTAGTAAGACGTATGGGCTGTCCAATATTTGTCTGATGGTGGTTTGAAATGTGTGGGCTAAATGTTGAAGAGTCAAGTAATTGAAAATCTACTTCCAGCTTACATTTCTAAATGATCGTTTAATTTATATTGTTCTATACACAGTAAGTGTTTATTTGTACTATTAAACTTTGCGTCTCTTTATTTTGGAATATTGAACTCGTATTTAAATAACAGTGTGCTAATTACACATATTAAGGTCATTTCAAAGTCTTACTATAAGAATATTGATTAAAAATACTAATAGAAGTTATGCAGTGAGTGATCTTTTCGAATGACAAATTTTCCTTAATTCATAACCTTATTTCATCTGTGAAAAGAGTGGCCAGTATACCCTGCCAGAGATAGACTAACTCTTCGAAGTTAAAAAGCACTCGATAGCTGTTTTGACCTAGACTTTGGAGTCTTCATCAGCATACACTAACAATCCTGTG